GTGTGGCAACTTATAGTCAGGAGGCTGAGGCAGGGGGGACAGTGAGTTTGGGGTTAATCTGGATTATAGAGTATACCTTATCTCACCAAAAATAAAAAATAAAAAAGAGTATACACTGAAGAATTATAATACAACAACTATAAAGGAAATCAAAATCAATACTATCTAAAGCCAAACTATGTGAAAGTAGCATTAATGAACAGACTTCAGATACTGACAGACTGGTGCTTCTCCTGAGGCACATGAGAGTCCAGCTAAGTCTTTTAGGACCACTAAGACACACACTTCAAGAGTGGCCCTCATTAAATCCTACAGACTAGCTCAAGCTAAGGTGCTAACACTGAAAATTACATTAGTTTTACCGCTTCCCCAATAACAGTAACATTCATAGAGTGATACACAAGACTTTGAATACTGCATCAACTACCAGAGCTATACCAACTCAAACTGTGGTCTGGATGTGGTCTGTCTGCAGGGCTCACATGCTAGCAGCTGGGTTCCTGGTCTAGCAACGGTGAACTGCAGCGCACCCTTAAGAGGTAGGCCATGGCATCAGAAGGGATGAGTGCTGTTTTCACAGACAGAGTAGGTAAGGTCTCAAGGCTGGATAAGTTTCCTTTAGAGCCAGGGTTCTGAGGAATAGCTCCGGGCCTATCCGCTCCATTTCCTCACTGATACATGTCCTGAGCACATTTGAGACAAACAAATCTCTTCAGAAAGCACTTATGTACTTTCTCATAGCAACACAAAGAGGGCGAAGACACAAACTAAAGAGAGCCCTGGACTCGAAGTATATTAATAGCCTTAATCTTTCTCTAACCATCACTTAAATGCTACTATTTTCCACTATGAAACACATTAGGTATAAATGTGATTTCCAATTACTTTTAGAAAGTGAAAATATCCCCAAGAGGAGATGTCTGTAAAATATAAACTAAGAAGGGGAAAACTAAGGTAGAGTTTTCCATAGCAATGCTGCTAAATCTAGCATGTGGTTAGTAAAAAATACCCCTTATCAGAGATTGGCACCATCACGACCACCTCTCCTCCTATCACAAAAAGTAAATTCTCAGTTCTGTCATGCCATTTCCCCAGTGTTTCCCACTCAGAAAAGGTCAAATCCTCCAGCTAGGCCCTGATCTCTTCGCTCCCCTGGTCAGCTCCACCCCAACACTTCCTAGTCAGCCTGCGGCTTTCATGGCCTTGCTCAGACTCCTTCCCTGCCTACCTGGTCCACGTCTGTGCCTTTTCCTCCCAGCACTTCTCACAGTGCACAGCTGCACATGTATTCAAATAAGTCTCCACTGTTTGCCTACACTGCCCGATTAGCTCCATGCTGATGTGTTTGTTTAAGGCAGTCTATCCAATACCTGGCATTGTGCCTGGGTGTGGAAGGTGCTGGATAAATATTTGGTGAATAAATGAATGGGTGAATAAATCATGAGGCTTTATGCCTATGTAACAGATCTGTCAGAAGTAAAGCAGGACTTCTGATCCTGATGCTTTCTAAGCACAGGATGTAATCAGAGAATGCCTGTATTATCCCAAGAACAAATATGCACGCTAATAAGGGCTATACAAATAGAGATCATACAACACAAGCAGGCTTGCCATCAGAATCTGCCTCAGCATAGATGCTGGCATCCATGGGTAACTAAGAGGCCCTATCTCCTGCTGTTTACCACTGGCAAAAAAATATCTTTGTTTTGTCTCCAAAAAGAAATACCAGACACCAGGACACTGAAATGCACAAGAGGGAACGAGAGGTCAGAATAGGCAGCCGGTATCAGGGACAAGGTAAACCAGCAATGTCAACAGAGAAGACGGGGAATGGCAGCAGAACCAAGTTACGTCTAATGCCACGGCCTGAAAGAGATGGAAAGAATAATAATCATAAAGGTGCATTAGGAGCTGGGAGTTCAGCTCCCCAGTACTGCCTGTCCGCCAACGCCTACTGGTTTACAGATTCAGTTAAATACCTAACTATGAAGAAACTCTGTTCGTGACTGAATGGAACTCAGAAGCAGCAAGGGCCATCAGAGAAAATGCAGCAGCAAGAATGACATGGCCACACAGACATCGGTGTACATCTGAGAAGTCCCAGAAAGCCAGAGCTTGGGACTGAGGTCCGGGTCCCTAGATGGTGAAAAGCAGACTCAATCCCTATTCACAGTGCAAACAATATTCTGTATTTACTCAGTACAAGGCCTTTTGAGGCAGTGGGACAAATGAGTAAGGCCACAATGACCAGTGGCTCCCATGCATGTGCTCGCATACACACGAGCACAAGGGTCCCTGGTATCTTCATCTTAATTTGCCATGGTGAGTCAGGCTCAGCTATCAGACCCTCTGCTGAGAATACAGATCTTTAGTAGTGACAGCTATGTAGTGAAAGAAGGAGCGGCCATATCAATAACTTCCTTGGGACAGGCATTGTACTCTTCCACAACACTGGGTGCTCAGCTTCCCTGATTCTGACTCTTGCACCCTCTCTAGCATGACATTTCTACTTTTGACCTTCTTATTTATTTATTTATAGTCAGAATTTGCTCACAACCAAAGTACACTATGGCTCCTGCTTATGGTCAATTTGCTTAGCTTACAAATGAGTATCCTAAGATGCTGAGGAGAAAAGATTTTTCTCCAGATTACAAAGAGGGTCAAGACCCAGTGTGCCCAACTCTTAGTATTGTGGATACTGTATTTAAACAGACTGGACAACTACTAAGAGATGTGTGCCTTAAATCTATCAAACAAAATCTAAGCAAATAGTAAAACAATAAAAACTAAACTTTACAGTTAGAAAGGCAGAGAACGAATAAAGAAGAGCCACTGCGTCCATGTGCAGAGCTACAGCAGTTTTACACTGCATCAGAGGATGAGCTGGGTCATCAAAGCAAGGTCTCGTGTGTGTGTGTGTGTGTGTGTGTGTGTGTGTGTGTGTGTGTGTGCCTGTGTGTTGCTAGGGACCAAACTCAGGACCCTGTACATGCTAGGCAAGTAACTGTACTACCCAGCTACAGCCCCAGCTTTCTGTGGCTTCTGTCAGCCATTCTATTAACATAAGATTCCTGATTTTAAAAGGAAATAATAAACAGCACATAGAAGAAGAAAGGGGGGATAAATGCCAATGGCTATGTAAAGTTAAAAAGACCGTATTTATACTACAGGAATATTTTTAGCACTTGCCATGTGCTCTCAAACGTCTGTCTTACTCTCCTTCTTCACCACACACTGCACAGACACTGTGTGTCGTCCCCAGCAGATGGTGTGGTTTCGGGAGGCATAGCCGGCTGGACTGCTGGAGGCAGTTCTGTGAAGGACACTGCGCTCACCCTGGGCCCCAGTCCCCTCTTGCTTCCTGACCCACCATAAAGGGAAGAGGTTACACTGCAAAATCCAGCCACCAGTGACTGAGCCACTGTCACTGTGCCATCACAGCCACCAGCAACTGGCATCTCCCGAAAGGGAGCCAGAGTAAGCTGACTTGTCAAGCATTTTGTCAGGGAGAAAATGCAGATTGTCCAATGTTTCCAGTGTCCTTGACTTCCCAAGAACTTGTTGCTATTCTCTTCCTTTCTTCAGATCTTGGTAAAGGTAGATTTACTTATAACATGTCATTTCCTCTCCCAATGTCCACTGTAGCTTTCTGTGGCCAAAACATGTGCACTCAACATTAATCTGTCCCAACTCTTGGGTCATTATTAGCAGACTATCTGGGCTGGTACACTCTATCAGATTCTCTCGATGGCACTGCTTCAGGATTTCCTAATACCAAAGTGATCACAGGCTGGCCAGCTAAAGCTGTGCACAGGCCACACTTGATTCCAAGGAAGCGTCCCTCATGTTCTCTGAAGGCTGGTGTCCAGTAAAAATACAATCAGCACTTATCTGTCCAGGTTGTTCAAAGCCGTAATCACAAACACACCCAGAAGCCCCATGAGAAGCATCATGTATTATCAAAAGGATAACTATTATATAGCAAAGAACTGATTTTATTGAAAGGAATCTTGCCATAAGTGTAATGTGTAAAAATCTGTCATAGTGATAACTTATATGATAACTTATAGTGACAACCAGACTAGAAACTCAGATTTTTCTCTTGCTTATATATCAGCAAACACATGATTTAATTCTTTTTTTTTAATTTAACATTTTATTTACTTCAAACTCTGTCTTAGTTACTATTTTATTGCTGTGAAGGAACACCATGACCAGGGCAACTCTTATAAAATTTCCATCAGGAGCTTGCTTCCAGTTTTCGAGGGTGAGTCCATGACCGTCATGGCAGGGAGCAGTGACTGAGAGCTTTGCATCCGGATCCACAGGCAACAGGCACAGATAGATAAAGACTGGGCATGGTGTGGGCTTTGGAAACTTCAAAGCCCACCCCCCGTGACACACCTTCTCCAAAAAGGCCACACCTCCTAATCTTTCCCAAGTAGTTCCAACTGGGGACCAGGCATTTAAATTTATGGGCCTAAGGTGGTCGTTCTTGTTCAAACTACAAACACACTGGATGACATACGTAGAGCATCCCCTATCACTTAGACCTGCGCACTTTACATCATATTAATCATGCAAACTCAATTCCAAGTCACATACAGACAATGTAGAAACATGCTGTGCTCAAGTGACAGGAGGGGAATAACAGATCTGACCATACCCAGATTTAATACAACAACTTCCGTAAGAGAAAAAGGCATCACGCAGCTCTCAAACCCAACTGTAACTTGGTGATCCCTAAAACAGGCGTCGACTTCAGAGTCGCCTGCCCAGCCATCCCAGAGGGTCTCCAGATATGCCGGAGCACTAACAACGGGGAGCAGGAAGAGGAGGCTGTGGATACCCACTGGGTCAGGGTCAAGGGTGCTGTTACACCTCTCACAGTGCACAGCTCAGCTCTACAGACATAGCTGAAAGCTCTGTCATACATGGAGACCAGAGGAAACAGCAGCTGACGAGGTGCATGCACACCGCCATCTGCCACGGTGGCCTACCTTGGATGCCTGGGGTGTGGAGACCACGTGGGTTGTGCTGGGCTTGACACCATTGGCCTTGGTCCGCTTATAGAGGGCAAATCGGCTTTTCCTCCTGCCCCTGTCACCATTAGGCAAAGCACCATTGTACCTAAAACAAAAACAGAAACACTCACTTGTCTGCAAACTTTCAAAGTGTCAAGGTCGCAGAAGGGGGCGGGACGGTGAGAAAGCTGCTCACTGAACCCCCAAGGAGGGAGAGGTGGGAGAGGGGGGAGAGGTGGGAGAGGGGGGAGAGGTGGGAGCGGGGGCCGCGGGGGGAGAGGGCTGCAAGTAGAGTTCAGCTGTAACAAAACCCAAATCGCTTCCAGAGACTGCAATGAGAAGCGATGCACAAGTAATTATAGGTTTCCTACTCTAAAGAGACAGAATCTTCGGATCCTTTTTGGAAGAGACAAACGAGAAGTCTGCAGAGGCCACACGAGTGCCGGCTTGACCCAGCCTGTACCGTTCTAACAGACCTCGGCAAACACTTGAGAAACATTTCAGATGAACTAGTTAGGAAAGAGTATGCTAATTAAAACTCATCTCTCACTCTCACATCATCTTAATGCTTTCTTTACGATCTGTTCTGCAAAAAGACCGGATTTAGTTACTTTCTTAAAAGTTTTGAATCCTATATGCAGTCTCATTTGTTTTAACCCTATACTGCTAGGTTAACAGAAAACAAACCAGCTTGTACAAATTATACATGCGTTTTAACCGTTCTCAGAAAGCCTGGCTAGTAAACAAGCCCGGGATGGATTTCCTACATTTAGCTAATGACAGAGTTTAAAGAGATTCAGGATTACAGCTGACAGTCTGGTTCTAACTGCACGTGGTAACCATACATTTACTGATCTCTGAATGTTTTAACCAGCATCCCATGTGGCTATGTGGATTTGACTAAGATTCTTGGCCGGCAACATGGAGAACCTCCTCTCAAGAGGAGTGAAAGGGGACCGCATACGTTTACTCAGATAAACACAGCTGCTCCAAAGTCCTCTGGGAACACCAAAGAGAAGGCCACAGGTCTGGTGGCTTGCTCCTACTCTGCCTTATCCAGCAGGAGAGAGATGTGGGGTGGGAGGGTGAGGCCCCTGGGAACTGCAGAAGTTGGAACAAAGGGGTCCGGGTGGATATTTTAGAGCCGAGTCAACAGCCTCACCAGACAGTGGCTTCAAATTATCACAGCAGCTCTTTCTACTGTGCTTATAATCTGTTTCCATGCCCATCAGAAAGGAACTAGGTACCTAAAGATGCCTCTGGACTAAAAAAATAATAAGTTTCACGTTTTAGGACTCTCTTTTTTCCCTGGGGCAAGATCAGAAAAATGTACAGTTTCCATGAATCTGCAATCACTACTATCAAGCACTCACTTCTGGGTATTTTGTCACTTAACTCCGAACCAGCAGTCTATATTAAAGGAAACACAGAACCAATTAAAGCTGAATCAGTAGACATCTTGGAGGAGAGTTTTCACTGCTGTGGACAGACAGACGACAAGCTATGTCAAGGTTTCCCATGCCATACCCTCCTCACTCACTCACACTCTCCGGACCCGAAGGGGCCCAGCCTGGGAAGAGAGCAGCAGGCCCAGTGCTCCCAACTGCAATCCCTTCTCCCCAGACTTGGCACACTCCCTGTTTTGGTAGAAGACGGTATTGCCAGCACCCTCCTCTGTCCCTCTCCCCTTACACCTGGCCCAGTCTGGTCGACATCCCCTCATCCCAGAACGTATAAACCTGGACAAGGACAACTGACTGTTTTCTGCAGGTGGCCTAACCACATAAATGCAGAGATGAGGGAATGTCACATTCTGACCGAAGCAAAAGTGAGGGAAACAGAATTCATCAGGGCTTTCGGTGATTCGGATGTACTCTAACCCTTACTCATGAGATTCTTTTTACAGCCTCAACGTTATATCCAGCCCAAAGAGACAGAGTCAGAAATGCCAACACATGCAGAAACAATTTAATTTCAATTGCCTGTGTCCGTGCACAGATGAACAGATACTGTAGGTTAGACAAACAAAGCAGTGTGTGGACAGATTGCCTACTTAATGTATCTAGACGATGACAAGCAAAACATCGTACTGGAAACAAAACAGTGGCAGGAAAGCAATGATAAAGATGAGGCGAGTTTCTAATTAGTTTAAGCTCCCAAGCCATTCATTCAATATTTATAGTGTCCGGTGCTGGAGCTGCAATGACGAGAACCAACTTCCTGCCCTCACAGAGCCTTCTGTGCCGAAGGAGCGAAAGCTGCAGCAGTGTGGCAAACACGGGGCAAGAGGCGGCACCAGCGCAGGGCAGGGAAAAACGCTCTGGACTTGTCCTGAATCCAAGCCAGAAGACAGAACGAGCACACACAAAGCAAGGCGGACTGAGGGAGTTCAAGTTCTACATTCCCAAAGTGGAGAGGCTGTGGAAAGAAAGGTGGGGAAAACAGACAGGTGGGATTACAACAGCAGGGCACTTACAGGACAAGTACAGGAGATCAGGGAGTCTGGCAGGATTTGCTCAGTTAGCCTGACAGGACATAGGACTCATCAGGTAGAGTTCAAAGTGCAGGGTAAACTAGTAGGACTGCTGGAAGCGACCAGCAGAGAGCACCGTCACTGCCAGAGAGGCAGGCAGAAGATGGGTGCTACCCCCTCCTCCCCAAAAACATGTAAGTACATTCTGGAGCCTGTGAATGGACCTTTCAGAAAAGGCAAAGGCTCTCAAGATGAAGTCATCTTGAACTGTTGGGGGGACCTAACTTTAATGACAAGCATCTTTAAGAGGCATTGGGGAACAGAGGGAGAGGCCATGTAAGACAAACAGGGAGCCCAGAGTTATACAAGCACTCTAAGGAATGCTGGAAAAAAGGAGGAAGACTCCCCCTGGAGCTATCTGAGGCATGAGGCCTTGTCTGCACCTTGATGTCAGCCTTCAAGCCTTCCAGGACTGGGAAAATATAAACAGCTATTGTCTCAAGCCACCCAGTAGGTGCTCACGTATTATAGGAACCCAGGAAAATTCCACAGACTGGTTCAAAGGCAAACAGAGGAAATGGGCTAGGGCAGATAAAGGTGTAGCACTGTCTTGAGGTGGTGTAAAAATCAGCAAAACTAGGGAGTCTGACACAAATAGGGAGAGCTCCACCCTGGAGATTCTAATGCAGCATGGGGGGCGGGCTCCAGATCACACCTGTGCAAAGCTCCACGGGCTGAGCTTGTGGAGAAGGAAAGCCCACAACCATTCAATGGTGTAAGAAGCAGAGAAAGGAAAAATCAGAGAGGCTCTGGCCCGGCCAGGGTGAGGGCACTTGAAATAAGCACTGGACTTACAGGTAATTCAGAGAAGACACAAAGGAGGGCAGATGTCAGAGGTCTGGTGGCAAAGGCTTTTGCTGTGGGGGAGGGGGCAAACATCAGAGGATGAACAAGATGACTGCTCACGGGAAAGCTGCAGAGTGGGACATGAAGACGGCGGAGGCAATGCTTACGGATGGGAACCACTACCGGAACCCTTCTTAGGCGTGGGAAGGAGGACACAGCCCAGGAGGAAGTTTTATCACAAAGACAAAACAGAACAGGAGTACTGGTCATCGGCCATGGATACCCAATGTCCCTCCACCCTTTTCACTTCAAGGTCTCTCTCGAAGGCTCTCCTGTCAAGAAACCTGGTCTGGGTGGTCACAAATCCCCCCTTACTGCCCCCCCTGAGAAATGGACTCTAATTTCCTCTTCCCTAAACGTGGGCCAACTTTCCTGACCTATGACATATTGGCCAACAAGATGTAGGATTTGGTGACAGTCTGAAACCTCCCACACCAGGCGTAAAGAAGCTTTGCGGCTTCTGCTGGGACCCTGAGGACCCTGAGCTGCCTCAGATGCCGCTAAGGCACTAGAAGAATGGTTGGTGATGCTCTGGGCTCACAGCCTTTATGCTGATGCTCAATCAACTTCAAGCCTGGAATAGGATTGAAAAAACCCGACAACCACCACCAGCTCTCCTCCCCTCCCAATCCCCAGTTCTCCATTCCCCTCTACTCCCCTCCCCATCCCCAGCTCTTCTCCCCTCCCTTCCCCATCCCCAGCTCTTCTCCCCTCCACTCTTCTCCCCATCATCAGCTCTCCTCCCTTCCCTATCCCCAGTTCCCCTCCCCTCCCCATCCCCAGCTCCCCTCTCTTCCCCATCCCCAGGTCTCCTCCCCTCCCCAGCTCTCCTCTCCTTCCCCTCCCCATCCCAGCTTTCCTCCCTTCCTCTCCCCATCCCCAGCTCCCCTCCCTTCCCCTCCCTATCCCCAGCTCTTCTCCCCTCCCCTCCCCATCCCTCCCCATCTGGTGTCCCACCACCCCAAAGAGAACTGTGGGATCCTGGGAAATAGAGGCACCTGGCATAGTGCACCAGAAACACACAGTAGACATGGAAAGCCCTGCCCGTTGGGCTAGCAGAGCATCTTTGGTATAGGAGGCCTAGGCAGAAAGGTAAAATTGTGCTTACAGAGGCAAAAAGGCACTGCTCACAAAAGGAGGTCAGCATGCCCTCTGCCTAGCACGTCTTCCACAGTGGAATCTACAGAAATTAAACGTCCGGGTGCTGCTGACTCATCCTTTTCAGCCACTAAATGGGGTGTCCAGCTTGAGCCCACAAGGTGCTTTATAAGATTCACATTAAAAAAAATAAATCAGAGGATGGTTTTAAACATTCATTTATTTGGCTGATGAGTGATTAAAAACTCAAAATGCAGAGCAAACAGCTTGGCTTTGCAGTAAATGTATTTGGAATTTTCAAAAGATAAAACACTGTGTGAGAAAAAAAAATCTGCCCAAGAATTAAAGGGATTCCCTTGATTTACAATATAGAGTTTGTATACTCATGTCCATAAGTATCATTTTCTGTGCACCCGTTTTCTGAAATGGAGGCAATGCTCTTCCACTAGTAAAAACCTCAAAGAGGGGAAAACACACAGACTTAACAGGCAGGAATGGTTAGGCAGAACCCAAAGTCACGTCCAGTCCTGTGTCATTCCAAATAGGGTGCTTTCCAGTGGAGAGCAATGACAAGTTATCAGTTCAAGGCGTTTCCTGACACACTACACAGTGACACCGTCTGGA